GCTACAACAAATTTAAACAGCACTTTTCAGTGCTCAACCTGTAAAAATTGTCTACCTTGTTCAACTCTTATTCCTCTTCGATCCTTGTTTGGACCCTACCCGAGGTAGTCCTTCTTGCATATCGATTTGGAAAATTCCTCTTCGTTCCTTCAGATTCTTATAGTCATCTGCTTGGCAGTCGATTTGGATAAAAATTTACTGCCGCCATGGCGCCTAAACGCAAAAGAAAGGGGCAAACTCTTGACCCCCCTTCTGATGAAATTAATTTGAGTAATCAATTTGATTTGTTCACGGATGATGAGAATGATCCATCATCCAAGAAAAATTCTAGTAAACTTTCCCGGCTTAATGCCAAGAAGGAAAAGATTCCCCCTATTGTGATAACCACCTCCGATTTCCATGCTCTTCGCATGGAACTTTTTAATTTCGTGAAAGTTAAGTTTTCACTACAAATTGGACGTCGGGGTGAAACCTTGGACGGATTTAAATGTCTTCTCAAGTATCTTACTAAGAAGAAGCACAATTTTTTTACTTACGACACCAAAACTGAATGTGTGTTCAAGATTGTCATGAAAGGACTGCCCAGTGGTGAATCCCTGGATCAGATCAAAGATGAACTGGCAAAATTACTTGGAGTTGTGCCACTCCAAGTAATCAAAATGAAAATGAAATCCCGTCCTGGCGATTCGCGCAACGGGATTTCTAATGATTTTTATTTAGTTCACTTCAAGTCTAGTGAACTAAACAACCTTAAGGCCTTAGAAAAAGCTAGCCTTATGCTCCATGTCCGAGTGAAGTGGGAACACTTCAAGAAGACTGGAGGAAATTTTCAAAACCTCACTCAGTGCCGTAAGTGCCAGGGATGGGGTCACGGAACTAAAAATTGCTACATGCCAGCTAAATGCATGAATTGTGGTGATTCCTCTCACGCACAGGACGATTGTCCTGTGAAGAAAGATCCTAAGAAATTTAAATGTTCAAATTGTGGTGAAAACCACAAATCCAATTTTTGGGAATGTAAGACTCGTAAAGCGATCCTACAATCTCGTTCTAAGCGACAGGTAGGAAACGCTCCACGTTTCCGACCAGGTACAAATTCCTCTGCTGTTAACAACGGTCAGCGAGGAACAAATTCTACATTCGTACCCGTAGGTACCCCTGCTTCAAATGTTTCATCTGTACCTACTCCCCTCGCTGCTAACAAAGTTCAATGAGTTAATGGAGCTACCTATGCTGCTTTTGCAGCGGGTAGAAATCAAAATACTAACCAACGTTCTAACGGAAATTTTGACAATTTTGACTTAGGAAGCATTACTGCCCCTAAAATGGAATTTTTACAGAATTCATTAATTGACATGATTTCTGATATGGTTAAATCTAACTCCATGTTTGATGCTATTCAAACTGGAGTAAAATTTGCAAATAATATTGTCATGACTTTAAAATTCAGTAATGGATTTTAAAGCATTAAACATTTTAAATTGGAATGCTCGATCTCTTAAAGATAATGAAGACGAACTATTTAACTTTTTGAGAGTTCATAACGTGCATATTGCCGTCATAACTGAAACGTTCCTTAAACTTGACCATAAGGTTAAGAAGGACTCAAATTATTTAATTTATAGAAATGATCGTCTTGATGGACCCTGTGGTGGCGTTGCCATCATTATTCATAGACGAATCAAACATAAAATTCTTTCTTCATTTGAAACCAAAGTTTTTGAAACTTTGGGAGTTTCTGTTGAAACAAAATTTGGACAACTTACGTTTATAGCTGCCTATTTGCCATTCCAATGCGTAAGTCAGCAAAAGAATTTTCTCAAGGGTGACCTCCAGAAACTTACCCGTCATAGGTCAAAATTCTTCATAATTGGTGATTTTAATGCAAAACACCGCTCATGGAATAATGCTCAAAGCAATTCCAATGGTAATATTCTGTTTGATGATTGTTCTGCAGGTTATTACACTATTCAATATCCAAACAGCCCAACATGCTTTTCTTCTGCGAGAAATCCCTCAACTATTGATTTGGTCTTAACTGATTCATGTCAACCTTGTAACCAATTGGTTACCCATGCTGACTTTGTTTCTGATCACCTTCCAGTAACTTTTAAAATATCCCAAGAAATGATTTCTAATCCCAACAGCTCTACTTTCAATTACCATAGGGCTGATTGGGAGCAATATCGAACATTTATGGAATATAACCTCGATCCAAACATTCCTTTGCAAACCAAAGATGAAATTAATTATGCTCTTGAATCTCAGACTACTTCTTTAGTTGAAGCAAGAGCTGCCTCAGTACCAAAATGCGAGGTTAAATTTGATTCAATTATAATAGACGATGATCTTCAGCTCTTGATGCGTCTTAAAAATGTCCGTAGAAGACAATATCAAAGAACACGCGATCCTGCCATGAAAGTTATCTGGCGGGATTTGCAAAAACAAATTAAAAAACGATTCTCTGCCCTGAGGAACAAAACTTTTGAAAATAATGTTTCTTAATTAGACCCGAGTTCCAAACCCTTTTGGAAACTCACAAAAATTTTGAAAAAACCTCAAAAGCCAATTCCAGCGCTTAAAGAAGGTGGTAAAATTTTGATCACAAATTTGGAAAAAGCTCAGAAACTTGCTAAGCAATTCGAGAGTTCCCATAATTTCAGTTTGGGTCTTACTAGTCCTATTGAGAATCAGATTGCTCGGGATTATCTGAATATTTGCTCTCGGGAAAATATTTTTGATGATTCCTGGGGGACTGATTTGGACGAAGTAAGGTCTATAACTAAAAAGTTTCAAAATATGAAAGCTCCAGGTGATGATGGAATTTTCTATATCCTCATCAAAAAACTCCCAGAGAGTACCTTGTCTTTCTTGGTAAAATTATTTAACAGATGTTTCCATTTGGCATACTTTCCTGATAAATGGAAAAATGCAAAAGTTGTTCCAATTTTGAAGCCGGATAAAAATCCAGCTGAAGCTTCTAGCTACCGCCCAATAAGTTTGCTTTCTTCAATAGGTAAACTTTTTGTAAAGATAATTTTGAATAGAATGATGCTTCACATCAATACGAACTCAATTTTTGCAGATGAGCAGTTTGGATTTCGCCATGGGCATTCAACTACTCATCAACTCTTGAGAGTTACCAATTTAATTCGTTCAAACAAATCTGAAGGCCACTCAACTGGAGTTGCTCTTCTAGACATAGAAAAAGCATTCGACAGTGTTTGGCATGAAGGTTTGATGGCTAAATTGAAAAATTTAATTTTCCACTTTATATTATGAAATTAGTTCAAAATTATTTAACTGACAGAACACTGCAGGTAAATTATCAAAATTCCAAATCTAATCGACTACCTGTTAGAGCAGGAGTACCTCAGGGTAGCATTCTTGGGCCTATATTGTGTAACATTTTCACTTCGGACCTCCCTGATTTGCCTCAGGGTTGCCACAAATCTTTGTTCGCTGATGACACAGGCATTTCCGCTAAAGGAAGAAGTCTTCGTGTTATTTGCAGCAGACTGTAGAAAAGTTTAGATATTTTCTCTTCTTATTTACAAAAATGGAAGAGTTCTCCCAACGCTTCCAAAACTCAACTTATAATATTTCCACATAAGCCTAGAGCTTCCTTTTTGGAACCTAGTAGTAGTCACATAGTCACTATGAGCGGAGTTCCAATTTCCTGGTTAAACCAAGTGAAATATCTTGGATTAGTTTTTGACCAAAAATTAACTTTTAAAGATCACATTGAGGGCATTCAAGCCAAATGTAACAAATATATAAAATGTTTGTATCCTCTTATAAACAGACAATCCAAACTTTGCCTGACGAATAAACTTCTAATATTTAAACAAGTTTTTAGACCGGCCATGCTTTACGCTGTGCCAATATGGTCTAGTTGTTGCACTACCAGGAAAAAAGCACTTCAAAGGATTCAGAACAAAGTTCTGAAGATGATTTTGAAGTTGCCTCCCTGGTACAGTACTACCGAAGTACATAGAATTTCGAATGTTGAGACTTTAGCACAAATGTCCAACAAAATAATTAATAATTTCAGACAAAAATCGTTACAATCCTCAATTGCAACGATTAATTCCCTTTATACTTAGATAAGATTTAGTTTTAAGATATCAATTGTTATACTGACATGCAGGTTTAAAAAACCTGTTTAAAATACTGAATTGCCAAGACAGGAACAATATAAAAACACTTAGATATATATCATAACAATTAAGGCTGGTAAGTTACTGTAGTAACTGGAGCACCTAGGTTAAAAATGAAATGTAATTTATTTTGAATTTGGAACAAATAAAGAGTAAAAAAAAAAAACGTTCGTTGTTCGAGTCCAGTTGGCAACCTTTTTCCTATTTTTTTCGACATTATTAATTTACCTCACTAATACACTCTACATTTTGCGGTCCCCAATTTTCTTGCATTAGACCGCAGCTAGGTATATCGCATCCTCGGTTCATGCGGTCTCCACTAACATCCTCTGATGATGAATCCCACATAACTGTAAGCGAATCTTACATCCACCGGTTGGGTGTAGTTAATGACTACCCGTGACCACCCAGAACTACAGCACTGTTTGAGTTTAGCTATGTGAAAAAGGTCACAGGTGAAAATCAAAATGGTCGGCGATTGACGAGCTTTGAAAAGATGACTGTATTTGGTTAAATGGTCCCATTTGGCTGAACTCAAAATTATGATAGGAGTATTTTTCTCTAAATTTGAATTCGTAAGGAGAGTCAGATCTCACCACAGGTGGAACAATTCAGGTTGTTTCATTTACGTGCATTTGTTATGCCCTGCTTATTACTGCTTTTCAACTCTTCAATGTGTTTCATTGTTTTAGGCTTCCGAAGAATTATCCAGAATTTCGAACGAAAATGTAATTTCAGTAAGCACACTTCCATCCAACATTTCTTCAATAAAACTCACAGTAACAGTCCTTAATTTCACTAAATTCCACCACAAATCATCACAACTTCGCTGATACCAACCAGTAGCTTCGTAAATCAGAACCATCCCAACGAGGGCCGTTAGTAGCCAGCTTCGGTTCACCATCTTGACCAATTTCCACTAGCAATATTTTTCTTCACTAATTGACCCAGCAACTCAATCAATCCGACCGCGACCAACAACTGTTGAACGAATGCGCGTTACCGTTTGGAACCACTCCGATCCGAACTATGGAAAGCCATCCCAGAAGGGTGCAGTCTTTTATAGCGATCCATGTGGAGTGGATTTGCGTATCAGGTCCGTTCCTCATCCTCTCTGTGCCTGGTTGTGTGGCGGGAATGTATGATAATAGATACTCGCACAGGTACATACCTACACCTTCTGATGACACGGAGATGGGTGATTCACTTGTCGTTGATCGACGGCGCTGAAGAAACCACCTGCTGATAAGCTCGGTACATGAGGTTATATTCAGGGTGATGTATTGCAGCATACATCGCACTTGAGAAAAAACCCCCCCAACTGTTGGCTGGTTAGTTAGTTGAACTTTCCACTCGTAGCCCAACGATTTCCCCGAATGAGTCGGGAAGTGATTTACCGCAAGCAATTACGGTTTACGATTCTAAAAAGACACTCCATTTCTGGTTCAATGCAAACAAGGATATCTAGGGCATAAAGTCGCGCGAATTGAATGTCATTAACAACCCAAGCTCATACTACGCGTTGATGTTTATCGCTCGCCGCACCCCATCAACCGGATAGCTGATAACATCAATATGGGGTTATCACTTCTCTAGATATGAAGAACGCACTCGTACCGGACCTCCAATAGATGATGCATCCCTCCGGGGACGCAGTGCAGGGTTCCAGTTCAAATATCTACTTATCGTTTGGTATTTTTAGCTGCATTACACCGCCCATTGAAACAACGGAGAAATGTGCATTCTTGATGCAAATGCATGCAGATATGCAGACAACAAGCGTTCATATCAGCTAATGACAAGTGCTGATAAACACCGGATGCTTTCTGGTTGTTGATTGACGGTTATCAGTGTAATCGGACCACTTTGGGAATCGATTCAGTTCAAGGGTACCTAGTTATGATGGTTGAGGGCTTATCCATGAAAGCTGCTTATCTCGAAAGAGCTAGTATGGTGGAATCGTTCGGGATTAGTTGTTATGTAAGTAGTGGGGATTACAACACTATCTGTTATCGATTTGCTGTCGGAATTTGTTCACTCTCTATGAATTCTGATTTGACGGTTAGTAGTTCGTATCAGCAGAAGTAATAAATTAGAAACATATTGTAGCAATATGAGCCGATTATGTTATCATGGTGTGAAATAAGACACTGCGAAAAAGGGAACAAGGCAAGTTACCGTCGATCATTAGAATACGTTTGGAGAAGGTGGATCTTGAGCAAAAACATTTTCCATATCGTTTATTTAATAGGCATTGGAATGCACACTGGGCCAAGAACCAAAATTAGCAAGACAAAACCTCTAGCGCATTGGGTTTGCATTATATTGAATTGGTGTCTTTGGCAAAGTTTCTCGGTTTAACATGCACGTTCATCTGGTCATGGAAATTAGTTCCAATTTTATCCGCATATATGGTGCTGCGATACTAACTTTCTTTTTTCGCACGATAGAGGTTTGTTGTCTTGGGCAAAACTGTAGATCATAAAATAATATATAAAAATGCCCAAAGACTCAAAGTTCTAGGTCTTCAAATAACGAAGATATAGTGAATATTGTAAAATTTAACAGAAAATTTCCGTTTTTGTACTATTTTCCATACAAACGAGAAATCCTTCATTTTTAACGCCGTGTTTCTTTTAAGTCGAATAATTTGAGGAAAAGTTCTCAATATTTTGGGTCGATACAAGCGAAATATTAGCCAAAATAGTGAAAATTACCATGATTCTCATAATCCGGTTTCTCGAAAAGTAGCAAGTATTAGCAAAAAGTTGTTTACTTTCTGAAATGTACCATTTATCATCAATCAAAGGTGAAAGTTTGCCGGACATATAATTTTATATATTTGAGATATCTGAATTCATAGACTACAATGTTTATTCAATTAGCGTTCGCCAATGCACGGCTTGCTGGCTTCATGCGATGGAAACGATAGAAAATGTCTCTTATGCTCCGCTAGCTGCACGTTGGCGAACGCTGTACTAATGTATGCACAAAGCATCTTCATGTATAGTAATTCATAGTAATTATTTTTGTTTTAATTCTTACAACTACCTGTTATCTTTCAATGTCGATTATTGCAACAGTATTTGCACGGGTCCTGGAAATTGCTCTTTATCGGTTTGAAGAAACTGTTTCTGCATTGTCATCACTGGGTCAGGGGTCAGCAAAAGTCGATGGAATATGTCCTCGATGTTTGCAAGACAACTGATTATCATTTTATGGTCTTGTTAGGATACCCATTCGAATACATTTTCATTTCGTCAGGTAATATATATTTTTTTTTAATTCTTACAACTACCTGTTATCTTACAAGAGAGGTCTTGCTAATTTCGGTTCCTGGCCCAGTGTGCAATGGCGTAAAAACACCTCAACGGAATTTCTCCTCTTCTTTACTTTTTTGTACCGTCCATAATTTTTGTTTTTGGACTTCGTTTCATCCACTATTCTCGTCGACTGTCGAACCGTCACGTCAATTTCCACTACATCCCTCAAGTATCTCCACGTCTTCCTCTATTTTCCGTTTCCATATCGTCGTTGTTCCGCTTTGTACTTTGTTCCGTTGTTGCTTTTCTTCTACCTATTGTTGTTTAACTGGCTGCTTCCAGGTCTTTCGCTTGGAGTTAATCCTTTCGTTTTGCATCCAAAGCATTTATCATTATTCCCATCATAAAATATATTATATTTTTGTTTGAGAAAAATTAGCGATGAACCATCTTTTTCACATCAATGTACAGTCGAAGCTCTTTATAGCGACATCGCAGGGGACTGTCGTTATAGAGAACTGTCGTTATAATAGATAGTCGTTATATAGAATTTCAATGTCGTTATAGAGAGAGATACGTTACTCCATGCTAAACAATCAAAGTATATTTTAGATGATTCCAATCGATTTTTAACAATACAATACATATCGTTTAAGATTATACCAAATCAAATTTCAATTCATTCTTCCCTTAGAACCTGTTTTTTTAATTCAAAAAATTTGCTGAAACTGTCCTTTGGCAGATCTTCCGTTCCAGCATATATTGTTTGGAAAGCATCTGAAAGTTGATTCTTAGAAGGCGCGCTGGTTAATTCATTGTCAACAGTTTCATCAGTCAATTAGTGGTTTTGATCATCGATACTGCTGCTAGATGACTGATCATGAACAATTCGGACTATGTCATCGTCAGTCAAAAGTTCTCCTTCACAAAGGCCGTCGTCAAAAGTCACGTAGTCTGGAATACACAAATTTCATAAATAATATTATTGAAACATTACATACATGTGTATACCTCCAAATGAATCAAAACCTTTCTCAGTGAGCATTTCAAATTTTGATTGAAATAAACTTTCTTCAGTTATATCAGTTTCAATGCTACTCTCATTAATACATATTAAATGGTTTGGTTTGACAAAACCAGCTTTAACGAAGCAATTAACAATTGTGGATTGTTTAACGTTGTTATGCCATGCATCAGCTATCATGTTAATGCACTGTAGTAAATCAATTTTCAGTGATTCACCATTTTCAATAGCATTCAGTTGATATTTCAATAGCTTGTTGCGGTAGTGCACTTTCAAAGACTTGATTATGCCAAGATCAAGTGGTTGGAGCACAGAGGTCATATTTGGAAGAAAATATGCCAGTTTGATGTTGCTCAACTTTTGCTGAATGTTTGGATGGCTGGGACAGTTATCGATAAACAAAATTATTCGCCTTCCTTCAATCATCATTCTTTCATCAAGTTTAAGCACCCATTCTTCAAACATGAAGCTTACCATCCATGCTTTTTTGTTGCTTCTATAGATGACTGGCAGGCTCTTGATATGTTTAAAGCATCTAGGTTTAGCACTTTTACCAATGATCAGAAGCTCCAACTTTTCTGATCCGTCCATATTTGTGACAACAGCAACCGTAATTCGCTCTTTAGAGTATTTTCCCCCATGACATTTATCACTTTTGAAACAGTATGTTTTATTGGGTAAGCATTTGAAAAATAGACCCGTCTCATCCATATAAAACACATCTTGTGGACTGTAGTCAGCAATCAACAGTGGCAACGTATCGGATATAAATCGCCCAGCGTCAACAACATTTACAGCTCCACTTTCTCCACTATTTAGCAATTTTGAACGACAATCCATTCCTCTTAACAAATTTTTGAAGCCATCCGTCGCTCGCTTTAAAAGAATCGTGTTTCATTTTCTTTGCCAGTTCATTTGCTTTTTCTTTTATAATCACGCCAGATATCGGAATTTTGTACGAAATCGCTTGCTGGCAAAATAACATCAGAGCTTTTTCTAATGGAACACACTGAACCGAGCGAGTTTTTTTTGTGTTGCAGTGAATACAAACGGGCCTGTAATGAAAAATTTGGTAAGATAGACTTTGTAGCACTTTCAATCAATATCCTTACCTTTTGCTGAATCTGTTCTTTATTTTTTATGATGGATGAAATAGTATTGTGTGGCACTTTGAATTCTTCGGATAATGTTTTATTTTTAACACCATTTTCGAATTTTTCAATTATGTCCAGTTTATTCTGTAATGTTAATGCTTTTCTAGTTTTTAAACTCATTTTCGACCGTGAAAGCAATGTACTTTTACTTGACACGAACTTTAATGCATCTTTTGTTTAACAAAAACACGTAAGTTAACCACTACGCGAAAATCTCGTTTAGGTGGTCAAGATTCACGTCAAAGAAAACTGCGACCAAAAAAACATTTTTTACTAAACCTTCAAATTTAATATTGTCTACGGCTATAAAACCACTGTGAGATGCAAATAGTACCTTCATGATACTGAAAAATGTCGCAATAGAGAATGACAAGTATGGGTAAAAAGCAACGATGGTGTGTCGTTATGGAGAAAGGTCGTTATAGCGAAATGTCGCAATACAGAAGAGGATTCCTATGAGAATTTGAAGGGACCTGTGGAAATGTCGTTATAGAGAGATTTGTCGCTATACAGATGGTCGTTATAAGGAGCTTCTTCTGTATATGCTCTAGAAT